TTAGAGTCTTGAAGGGGAGAAAAGGGGAGCTCTGCTGACCTAGTGGGTAAAGAGTTGCACTGTCAACCCACAGGTACACAGTTCAAATCCACCACCAGCTCTGAGGGAGAAAGATGGGCAGTTTCTTCCTGGGTGACTTCCTGCCTCTGAAAACCCTGGGAGGCTCAGCTATAAGTTGGCTCCAACTTGAGGGCATATACAACAAACTACAACAGAGAAATGCAGCAGTGAGAAATGTGGGCTGATTTCCCAGAGACCACGTGACAGTCCGTACTTTGCTGCTCTACTTACTTGGCTGAGACAATTTTTGTTTCTTTGCAGAGATCTAATTTGGAGATCAGGGGTCAGAGGGCAGACCATTAGAGGCACTCTTTACCTTCTCGCCCCACATTAAGCCAGTACATACTTCCTCACAGATAGTAACTTCCCCTTTATACTTAGTGTATTGTTTTCTTTTCACTGGAAACCGAAATCAGACCAAAACAGAAACAGAAATTGAAATTTTATTGATATGGAATAAAAAAATAACTTTCTATCATAAAGGAGAAGTTGAGTTTACATGGATTCACTTTTTAAAAACAAAATACTAACTCCTACTGCGTGTGAAAGGGACACTTCTGATTTCAGGTTTGCTCTGTGGTCACTGATTACTCCAAAGATGAAGGGACTCTGCTCTCGAAAGTAAAACACACCGTGACCTGCATTGTTTCATGTATAGAAGTTAGTTCAAACACACAATCAGTATTTTGACAAATTCACTTAAGTTTGGTTGGGGTTTTTTTTTCCATATAAATTGTTTAAATCTGATTATTCACAACAACAATAGGCTCTTTCATTCAGGAGTAGTATGGATGGTTCTGTATTTCATTACAAATGCTAAGAACAAACACAACCACTGGGCCTGGCCACGGCCACGTGCACTGAAAAAATTCACTTCATGGGATTATTCAAGGTGATCTTTTATTCAACAATCGTGTCAAGGTTCACTAGCACCCACCATATATTTCTTTTGTGAAACTATTTCTTTGAACTTAAGCCTTTAAGATAACTCCTGAACTCTTAAGTCTTTAACACCTTGGAAGCTCCACCAAAGAGTCCAAGAAGGTTCCTATCGTAAGACTTCTGAGTAGAATTCTCTCCTTCCTGCAGGAAGTTTAGGTCCAATGCCCAGTTACCACATGCTTATCAGCAGAAGTTTATGTTTGCTATGGTATTGAACAACTTTGAGCAGTTCTGACAGACCAAGACAGAATATGAGAAAAGACCTATGAATCCAATTTAAACACTCAGCAAATGAAAACTGAACGGATCATAACAGTGTTCCTGGGGTAGAACTGGATAGTTTTTGCTCTTTTATGCTAGGAGTTGTGGGGTAGGTGTCAAGCTGAAGACAGTAACATCATTCCCAGAAAACATTCCTAAGCCATGCTACATGTATCAGCCCAACTAATTGCTTAGCAGTTGTGAGGTGTGCTGTGTCATCACCTGGTTGAACTGCCCTAACAAAACCTTCTGTCATGTGACACTGGTTCTCAAGTGCTCAAAGGAGCCAGCCCATATGTGAGCATTAGTCAGGAGCAGAAGAATGAATAAGAGCTCAGGAACATCTAGTTTTGGTTAACTTACACTTATCACAGCCCAGAATCAAGAGGTTCAATCCACCAGCTGCTCTGCAATAGAAGGATGGGCAATCTCCATTAATATGATTTATTGCCTCTGAAAACCCACTGGAGGATCAGCTATGGGTTGGTTCTGACTTGACAGCACATGACAACAGGCCTATCAAAAAATCACAGAGATTCATCTTGAGTAATAAATAGATTCCTACAGACAGGTCCATCAGGACATGCCATTCTGTTGCTGAAAAAGCACTCAGAACTCTAAGAAATTTCACAAGCTTACATAAATGTCCATTTTCATACCAATTTACAAACTTGAAGAACAGGAAATACTAGGTATTTTGTTTTCAGCAACGAATTTGGGATAGTAGTATTTCTAACACTCAGAAAATGGCAATGGTTTTTTCTATTTTAGAGTTCATATTTATGACATTATCTCCATAATATATTACATTCTGCCCATTCTCAAATTAATTAGATACATTTATATTCTTATTAGATTGAACCTTATGGAACTAATGATATTTGACTATATTTGATCTATGAAAACAAGTTTCCCCCATGGTTTAACATAAAAGGACCTGAACATCAGTGGCTGGCTCTCTCACCATACACTGCAGAACACCCTTGTTTTACTTCAGCACGGAAAATGAAAGTGCTCACTCCATTCACCAATACTACCTGATGGTATGCATAGGAATCAGATCGACTACATCTGTGGAAGGAACCGCTGGAGAAGCTCAATATCAGCTGTGAAAACTAGGCTGGGGGCTGAT